ATGTTTGCAAAGGTTCATTAGTGAGTCAGGGGTTCTGGAATCAGGATATTCCACTGGGACAGTTTTAGGGATGGCACTTGGGTTCTCAGGCTCGCCCACGTCAAGCTGACAAGGGGAAAGGGTGGTGTCCACGCCCAGCCCCTCCTCTCACGGCTGTGTGACCTTTATTGAGTTGCTAAACCTTGCTGCCCTTTAGTTTTCCCATAGACAACAGAGATGATAACAGCACCCTACATAGGAGTGGACGGGGGTGTTGGGAGGTTAAATGAGATGATCTCTGGGGAATGTCTTAGAATGTCCTAGAAGACCCTTAATGAATGTAAGCTTCCATTAACATAAGTGTCCAGGTAACTGTTTCCAAAGCAGGCTTTGAGGTGTGTGTGTGTGGGTCTTGTGCCTCAAAGGATATGTCAGGGCTTCCCTCTACCCACTAGACAACACTCTCTTCAAGTTGTGAAGACAAAAACTGTCCCTGGACAGCACAGTTGTTCCAGGGGTTAAGAACCACTCTGGTAGGGAAACAGCTGAGCTCCAGCTGAAGGCTGGCTCGTGGCCTTGCTGGCAGCCCTGGGGAGGGCTGAGGTCTGCACTCCCCATGCCTCTGACACCAGCCCAGGTCGGCAGTGGGAACACCCAGGGCACTGAGTTAGGAGTGGCTGGGCAGGTGGGCATCCCTGGGCAGGTGGGGGGCGGCCAGGGGTCTCAAAAGTGAAATGATGGAAAAAGCCAGCTGGAAGGAAGAAGTAGGGAACTAGTGGGGCTCCCCACTGCCAGCCTTCTCTCTCCCCTTCCCCTGGCATAAAGAACACCTGCTGCTACAAAGGTGCTGGAGGGGGGGATCAAGAAGGGAGAGGTGGGCAGTGGGGACCAGCTGGCGGAGCCATAAGCTGGGAGGGCTGCAGTGGGGAAGGGGGGAGGTGCAGAAACAAGAAAAGGGGCGTGTGGACAGACCCCAAGCAGCATAGGCAGTTTTCTGGGTGTCATTTGGACAGGGAGCAGGGACAAACCAGATGGGCTGAGTCTCCCAGCCTTGGTGATGCCAAGGTCTCAAACACAGCCCCATGCTGCTTCTCCCGCCACCTTCTGAGCCGTTTCTTGCCATTTTATCCACTGAATTGTTTAATGAGTCTGGGCAAACCAGACACTGCATGGCTAGCCTTGTATTAAACCCCTGAAAGTGATTTTGTTTTTGAATAATTCGTTTGCAAAGTGGGAGTAAGGAAGACACCAACTAAGTAAAGTGAAAGGCACAGTCCCGCTGGGAAACTGCCCTGGGGGCAGCCAGTGTGCACACAACCGGCAGCCTCTCAAGCCAGCCCCGCCTGAATGCGAAGCGGGGTGGACTCCAGTCCGGGTGCTTTACACATTTCCACAATGGGCTTCATAAACCGATACTAAATGGGCAGAAAAAATTCAGTCCTGACAAAGGACACCACAATCCCATCCCATCTCCAGATGGGCAATGATCTCAAAGGGCATGTAGGGAAAGGGTTTGTTCAATAGAAGGGGCTCCTCTCCCACGTGGGGTACAGCTGAACCTCCTTCAATCAAACCGATTCCAAGTTTTCTTCTTGCATTTTGTGGGAGTCGCCCACTTCTTTTGTTCCTGTCAAGGGAACTAGAAACCACTTAAAAGCCACGCCCTTCTAGGACGTGCTGGCAGCAGACAGGTCTGTGCAGGGCGGGGATGGAGTCACAGACTGTCACTCAACCCAAAACAGCAAGGCCAAGGACTCCCCCACCTGCCCAAAGGCACCCCCCAAGAGTCAAGTCTGAGGATAGCAGTAAACACACCTGTTACGGGAGGAAATGCTGGTGGAGGAATTGATTGGCTTCAAGAAGCCCTATGGATTGGGCTCTGGGAGGAGGGAGGGAGTTGTTTATTTATTTGTTAGAGGAAGGTTTGGAGATGGGGGATGGATAAGCAATTTGTAAGTGGTAAACATAAGTAGTATCATAACAGGCAAAGCCACACCTCAGAATTAACCACAGAATGAATTATGGTAGGAAGCACATTTCTCTTTCGGTTGGAAGACAGGTCATTTGGAGGGGCAGGGGCCGACTAAACTAAAAAATATCCTGCTGAGCTTGGGGGGGGCAGGAGGGGCCAACCTGGCAGTCGAAGCCCTAGGTCCCCCCCCCCATGTCAACCCCAACCAGCTGGAGACCCAGCGTGGAGTTACAAGTTCCTGAGTGCCACAGGTCATTCGGGTCTTCTGGGTCATAAAAGCGCCCCGGCATGCTAGGGATTCTGGGACTGGGGTCCATGGCCCTCGATGGGACCCGGCTTTCCCAAGCCCCCGGCTCGCTCAGCTGGCACGGTCCGAGCACCGGTGCCACCGCTGCATACACTCGCTATCAGCTCCGAGCCGGCTGGATCCTCTAGGAAGGATCATCTTCAGGCTCCCGGGAGGGTTCCAACAGTAAGAGCTCCAGGCCTTGCCAAGCCCAGTGGCCCATCAAAGCGCCAATGCATTTCAAAATGGAGCAAAATCACGGACGCGCGCGTGGACTACGCTTTGTTCCCGGTGCCCGGCTGAACGCGCTCTCCCACGCCACGCTCACTTCCCCCCAAAGCACAGCCCCGGCCGCGATGCTGGGCCTCCCTGAGAACCCTGCTCCCTCTAGAGCCAGAGCCCCGCGCCCAGTTCCGGCCATGGGGAGGTGGTGGGAGAGGGGGAGGTCGCGTTCAAATCCTGCAACCTCCCCGCGGCAGGTTCGGCTCCGCCGAAAGCCCTGGAAGCGCAGCGGCTCGGATCCTGGACGCCACCGCCCCGAGGCGCACCCCCGCGGCGCGGACTCTCGACCCCGACGGGAGCGCAGCCATTCTCCAGACATCCGTCCATCACCGCGTGGTTGATTCGGCCCCTAAGATGTCCAGACCTCTCAGCTGCGCCCTCGCACCGGTTTTCAGTGAGACAGAATGAACCAGAAAAGCGCGAGCACCGGCTGCTCACTATTCTCTAGGGGTCCCGTTTGCCCACCCCGGGTTTCAAGGGCGCAGTGAACTCGCGCTCTTGAGCGAAAACCTCGCAGGTTTTCTAAAATAATATCCTGTCACAATAATGCCAATACATCGGGGACGCCTATCTGGGTGTCTGTGGCCCCCGAGGCCAATTAAGAAGTGACAGCAGCTCAGGGCTAGGGGATCCCTCCCACGCCCAGTCTTCCCAGTCTCAGCCGGGAAGGGACCCGGCAACGCCCCAAGGTCTCTTCCCAGGACGTGAGATGTTTTCTTGGCAACCGCTCTCCGAGCCCCCTCTCATCCAGTGGGGGGAAATGGGTGTGGCCGCAGCACCCGAGGAAACCTCAGCCCCCTCCTCACATTCTGCCGCCGGGAGAAGCAACAGGGCGTGAAGCCGAGGGCCGGGTCTGCGGGTTCCCTGCCCCGCCCCGCTGCGACCGGCGCCCTTCGGTGGTCAGCCTGCTAGGGCGAGGCCCCCAGGGCGCTCCGGGCGTGAGACGCGGCGCGGTCCCTGCACTGCCTCGGGGCTGCGCGCGGAGACCCGACTCCCACGCTCCGTCGCCGCGGAGGCTCGGAGCAGCGCGGTCCGGCTCCGGGAGGGGTCGCGCAGGCTCGAGCCGGTTCCAAGCATGACCCGAGTTCATCGACCCCAGCAAGCCCCGAGATCTAACAAAGAGCTCGAAAATGAGAGACGAAAAGGGAGGGGGAGGGGCCGAGGCCTGAAACACCCTCATGGAATAAAACCCAAAATACCCGGACTGGCAACTCAGCCCACATACACCCTACAAACAAAGCAGCAAGCCTGGGAGCGAGATCCCCAGGAACACTCAAGCCCACGGCAGCAAAACGCCAAGATTTCAGCGCCCCCCACCTTCTGTGATGACAGTCCCTCCTGCCCTCCAAAGCCCAGCCGCCCGCTTGGCAGGGTTCTGCAAAGGCGTGACACGCCGCAAAAAGATGGCACCTCGCGTTCGGAGGGGAAAAGCGGGGGTGGGGGTGGGAGTGGGAGGAGGCACAGCCTACCCGCCCCCTCCTCGCCCACCGGGGTCCACACCCACTGCCGCAGTGAGGGGCGAGCCCTGCGCGCCTGCCCCGCGCCTCCGGCAGGGAGCGCACACGCGGGACGCCCGGCTCAGGGCGCCGACAAGGGGCCCGCCCCGAAATGCACCTGCAGCCCCCGCGCGCTCTGTGCCCGGCTGCTGCGTGCACGCCTGCGAGCGGGGACCCGCCGCTGCCGAGTCCTTCCACACCCCAAGGCCAGGTGACCCTGCCTTTCCGAGCCCCGTCGGAGGGCTGCCTTCTCTCGGGCGCGGCGCGCCTGCCTCTCCGTGGCCAGGCGCGCGCAGGGGGAAGGGCAACTGAAGTGACAGCCCGGGACCCCTCCCCATCTCCCGGATGGAGCTCCCAGCCCCCAAATGTCCCCTGAAGGTTTCTGAAGGAGGAAAACGGGGAGGGGGTCGGCCACCGCCTCAATCAGGGGCAGGGGAGGTTCTTCGGAATCGTCGCTGGGGAGGTGAAGGAAGGGGCAGGCCGGGAGTCATCTTTTCTAAAACCCGAGCCATACCTTCCTTAGGACGGATGACAAACCGAGCCCGGAAAATCAGGCTACAGGTTTGAATTCGGGGGTCATCATAGGACACTCCCCCCCTCCACAAACGCACGCCCAATGCGGCAAAAGGCGGCGATCGAGAGTGCACAGCAGCCCCCTCCCCCAGGTCACCGCCATCTGCGCCCCACCCAGCAGCACAACCTCTGCCCGGGTCCGCGCGAAGCGGGTCGTGTGGACCCCCCAGCACACACGTACACACACTCACACTCACACACACTCACGCGCGCGCTTGCGTGCATCTCTGGCTTGGGTCCCTTTCCCAGTCGCCCTAGTCCCAGCTCCCGAGCGCAAAGGCGCAGGGAGGAGCCCCCGCGGTTGCCCCTGACTAAAGCTCCTGAAACCCATTTCTACGGCGGGGGGCGAGAGGCGGCGGCTTGGGGGTGCAGGGCGTGGACTGGGAGGCAGGTGTCGGAGCCTCCGGCTTACCTGATGGTTGACAGAGGGCGAGGACAGTCGAGGAAAACAGTGGAGGAGAAAGTGGCTGTGGCGGCGGCGGCAGGGGCGGCAGAAGGTGGGCGGCGGCGGCGGCGGCGGCGGCGCTGCTGCGGGTGCAGGAGCTGGTGGGCGGCGGAGACTGCGAGAGCGCGCGCCGGCTCTAAGACGCGCTCCCGAGGTCGGCGGCGGCGCAGGCGCGAGCAGCGGGAACGCGAGCCTCCCCAGGGGAGGGGGG